CGTGGTTTTTGGTGTTCCTCTCCTGTCAGGGGGCAAAATCTGTGCGTTCGCACCCGTCCCAACCATCGCTGCCATCTCCCCTATAAAAAGGGTATCAGGTCGTAGCGCTTGAGGTTACGATTACGATGAACTAATTCACGAGGCTGTGAGACCTCTGATTGGCTAGATATTTCAAGAAAACGTTTTTGCCAAGAAAGAGTTGTTCCCATTCTTCTCAATTGATAGCATTCTTTACTACTTCGATCAGATTAAATGACCTGGATCTTGAGGATAAAGGACAGCCTAATTGCGAGTTCAACAAAGGTGAGAGGAAAAAAGGTGGTTTTGAAGGAGTGTCTACAGTATGGATGGATGGATGATATCATTTAAAATATGAGGCCACAGAAAGTGGTGAGAATGTGCAAGTTTCAACAGCGTTCTCTGTGGAAAAGTAGGATCGAATTGGATTGGCTAAATAAAAACACCTTCTCCACCTGGGCCGGAGGTCCGTGCACTTCCCAATAGTTTCGGACCCCCCAGGTCTCTGGCCTGAAATCATTTCAGCCTGCTTGCAAGGACAACAGTGGTGTTACCTCCGCTCCATTCCGGGCCCTCGGGCGAGACCGGAGTCTGATGAGTAGTTTGCATTTGGAATTGGAGCCACAATAGTGGCTGCACAGGCTCTCCTAAATGGACCAGGTGTAGCAATCTAAATACAACGCCTATTGCCATCTCACAGTGTGGGTCAAAGCCCAGATTACAGTCTGGCCTTACAACTGATGTGTGCTCCCTCTAACCACATTAACTGCATTCTAGATCCTCACACTGCAGCCAGTTTAGCAATCGTGGGCCATGGCTTGCAACAGTTAAACTAGTTGATTGTACGGAGACAAAACCTACTTCCAATCTGGGTTTAGTGGTACTCTGGACACTGCTAAGAGTGCTCAGTAACATCGTACAGGGTCGACTCGGCACTAGAGCTTGCATGATGTTACCAAAACTGGATACCGCGGGTTTTCGACCAATGGGGTCTTACAACTGTAGGCATTTAAATATCATTAGCAGGTTTCCCAATGACTCGAGTATTACAGCTTTTGCTGTGTCTTACGAATGGTTTGTATATGGGATGACCGAGAATTGCCTACGGAGTCGGTGGAATGATTAGACAATGGCAAGTAACGTGCGAGGCGGTGGCAGAACGGGGGCGTGCGGGGAAGAGGCTACTATACAGTAAAACCTGGATAGGCGCGGAGCTGACAAGACCAAGCCCTACTGTAGCAACCAACAAAATAGCCGTGTCACAGGACCGCCCCCCACCCTCTCGGGTAGGGGGTGTCCCTCAGCCATAATGCAATTCTCATCCATAATGCAAATTTCCTATTTTTTCAACTTCTAGCTCATTTTCTAGGCGTATAAGGTCCAGGATCCATGAAATAAAGCCCATCAATAGCTTCATTAGCCAATAATGTATCATCCTCCTCATTTTCAACTGTTTCCTCCAATTCCTTAGCCGCCAAATCGGCCGCCATTTTCACTGCGTCTTTCCGCCAAGCACGAAGCTTCGACTCATCTCTGCAAGTTCCGCATTATACAGAGACGATTTTCCGGCATCAATTGCGCGCCGTACGTGCTTCCGAATTTTTCGTAAATCAGGAGCCGGGTCATTAAGTAGTGGGAAAACTGTCTTCTCCAATTTTTCAATGCGCGCATAAGAATTGGGCGGAGAATTGGTCGCTGAACTTGGGAATTCGCGGGCGGGTGACGGCTCGTCGTATATGCGTAAGGTCTCTTCGTCCGAGTACTGCCCTAAATTATCTAAAACTTGTTTAGGATCTAGTGGCCAGATACCAGTAGATCTAAACGAGATTTGAATAGTTTTGGATCGTAGGGCGCGGTGTCGGACGGCATCAATATTGCGGAAGAAGTCGCGTTTTTCGTTACTTCCACCCCACGCTATAACTTCAGTATTCGCCATTTTAAAATGATGCTTTAGGCTTAAAAAAGCCTCGGCATCAAGCGGCTGACATAGATGAGTCGTGTGAGGCATAAAATACCAAGGAATAATCAAGTTTTCCTTACAAAAATCGAGAAATTCGATAGTTGTATGTGATGTATGATTATCCATTAGCAAAAGCCTCGGTCGCCCGCGTTTTACGCGATCTTTTGTAGCTTCATGAAACGAGCAGAGCCATCGGTAGGCAGTCTCACTATCCGTCCAGCCACTAGACGTCAAATGGATGATTTTGTAGGCCGAAGAAGAGGTTGATATATTGGTATACCAGTCTTCCATGTGGACGGTGCCTTTGACTAGAAACCATGGAAACATCACCCAGCCATCGGCGGCGATACATTCAATGCTAGTAATAGTTTCACCTCGATCTCCAGTAGCAATGCTAGCAGTTTGACGCGTAGATATAACGTGTTGGTCAAGTCCTTCGCCATTTTGGAAGCCAGTTTCATCCCAATTATAGATCTCATGAGGTTCGAAATCATGCTCACGATAGAGATAAGCAAGCCTATCATACCAATGGCTAATAACTCCAGGATCCTCGGCTTGAATTCGTAATGCTTCCTTCGGTTTTTGGGTAACAAGCTTGATATGTGGAGGTAGACGCGCTATAAGCCGATAGCTATACATTGGGCCGACAACTCTCTCCGAGCCTGCCATTTTCAATAGGCGATTTGCAGCATTTTCAACGTCTTTTGCAAGTGGAGGTGTATAGCAAGAATTTAGCACTTCGATCCAGCTAATTAATGCTTTTTCCTGATTCGAATTCAATGCATTGTTGGTGGTAGGGCGATCGGAGAGAGATGTCTTTCCGTTTTTGCGACCGCGAAGCTTCGAATAAGACACGCGATAATGGTCCGCAGCCTTACGTAGGGATGAAAATTCTCGCGATTCATAAGCATCTAATGCCTTAGCTAGCAGAGCCTCTTCATCATGAGCTTTTTTTGGCATTTTTTGGTGGGTAGAAATACGCGTAAAGTTGAAAAAGTAGGAAATTTGCATTATGGCTGAGAATTGCATTATGGCTGAGGGACACCCCCTACCCGAGAGGGTGGGGGTCGTCCCGTGACACGGCTACCCCACAGCGGCAGATCGTTTTCGCAAGCCCTCGCATGTAAATGAACAATCCTGGCTTTAAAAGCACTGGGTCAAAGCCCAGATTACAGTATACACATACCCGGTTCCTACTGCAGTTCCCAAGAGTATGGGGTGGGTGGGCCGAAAGGCACAGATATCTCTCGAGTCTCAACCACCTCATTACAAAAGGATCGGGGGTCGTAGGCCTCTCCTCGTCCAGATCGTCGAGTTTCAGAGTCTCCAAAAGCCAATCACACCGCTTCACTTACCCCCACCCTGTGAGGGAAATTTCTCTAGCCAATTAAGCTTAGTGCAATTATGGAGGGGTATTGGGAAAGAAAGCGTGTGGGTCTGGTGGGGACTCTGCTTCTGAAATCCTCTGTACGACACATTATTTAAGGCAGTCCCAACCACCCGTCTTCAGCTCGCAATTGAGCTAACATTCTGCCCCGCGTTGCCACTCTCCCATCTTGCGACATATTGCAGTGGTGTAAAGTCGAAGAGAAGTTTTTCATTCGTCATTCTCTCAGGATGTCCACATCAACCACAACAATTCGTGTTGAAAACAACCCTCAGAAAATAAGGGAAAGTGGCCTACTCCAGCAGTATGGTTATGAGATTGTGACCAAGGAAGGGGAAACATACCTTTCTCCTAATCAAACCGATGGAGGGAGAGACAACCAAACTGAGCTACTCACTCAAATGGTTGACTTGGGATATAATCTCTCGATAAGTGGAATAAGTGGAGATCATGTCGACTGTCGATATGTGGTAAGAGCCCTTTTCCAAGGTTGAATTTACAGGTTTAACACATGCATTTTCAGGGCAACAGAACGGTGAACTGACTGATCCTTCTGTGACGACTTCTATTGAATTATATGATATAGTAACTTAGGCATCAATGTTAGTTGAATCTGCGTTTGGTTGAAGCGGACAGTCTCAAGTTGATTATATAAAACGTACTTCCAATCTGGGTTTGGTTTGTCTCTTCTCGGGCTGCACCATATGCTAACAAACTTAATCGCTGTGTGTGGGCAAGAAAGCCGACGAAGACGAATTGATGGCGAATCGCGAGCCGAAAGACGAATATGCTACAGGTCTTAGATGAGTGGCAAATGCAAACACACATCATTTTTCGGAAAATTACCCCAGCCGGGATCCGGGATCCGGGATTAGCTGACATAAGCCGACTGGATCCACCACCAAGCCAAGGCTTGCCACCGACGTCCTAAGCTAATGTGTTGACTTGGACAAATCCACGTGTATTATAGCAACAACGCTCACAGGGCTGGTTATTACGTTACTGGAGCCGATGAGGCCGTTCCCTGGATCTTCGTCAGTTTTCTGCGTCTGGGGACAGAGTGGAATACCTCTGGGATTACTCTAATGCGGACAATCTTAGGTTTTCCACCGAACTGAAGCTTGATTAGATTCCTACACAAATTGTGGTTCCGGGATGGGCACAGTTACTCCTAGGAAGGGTTTTGAAGATTGATTGATTGATTGATTGATTTATTCATAGACTGTCCCAGCCGCCCAATTAGCAGCTATGCAGCGCGTTCAACTAACAATACATGAATTCCTGCTTTCTGCATTCGAAAACGAGTTCGCTCAACCGTAGTGACCTCTTTCACCTGCTTCCGGCAGTTACACGTTAATCATAGCTATACAGTAATGGTTGTTCTGTATCTTTGACTTGTTAGACCTTTCCTGGCCCTCCTTTGCTTCTGTTTGACAAAATCACTCGTCTGCGATAAATTGAGCACCGTGGGTGGGCTGCCGATAGGGCCCCTCCTGTTGAGACTGTGGTGGTTCGTTCTGTATGTGTGGAGGCACGCTACTTTGAGTGCCGATGTTACCGTGTGTGTGTGTGTGTGACAGTGGCAGTGTTTGTGGCTTGCTCGTTGATGGGTTCTAGGTCCGTGTTGATTTGTGGTCACGCAGATGTTTCGTGACAGAAGGACATGTCTGGGACGCGTCTTTTGGCATGAACATCTGTTGGGACGCAAATCAACTGTGAAGTTGCAAAATATTGTAAGGATCGGCTTGACGTTCTGAGCTGTTGGTGGTGTTTTTGATAGTGTTTTTTGGGTGTTAATGTTGTTGGCTTCGTTGTGATTGCGTCGTCCATATGTTGAGCCCATGAACCATATAACCGGCTCTGCCCCGAGCCCAGCGTGTCGTCGTCAATGTCCAAGCCGTAAACCGTTGTCGGGCAGGACGAACGGGGTGACAAGTTCCGTTCTCCATCGTGGGGGCGGACGTGTGAGGGGGCACGACTTCCTCTCAGGTCCTGGTTCTGTATATTGGTGTTTCGTGAGGTTCGGAGACTCGGCTTTCGGCGCGTCAGCGCGTCGTGAAAAGGGGGAAGATCGCGTTGTTGAGCTCCTCCTGGCACTCGGAGATAGCCAAACTGTTGCTCTGAGAGTTCCCAGCGGGCACCACGTGGAGGTGGGAGCTCGTCGCCCGCCAGGACAGCAACATGCCCTCCGGGGAGCGAGTGGAGTGTCTCTGGGATTGGTATTGATTGATGGTGGTTCCCAATAACCATTTGAGGGTTCAAGGTTTCCATGTCTCCTTTTCCTGCGGTCCCCTGAGCCCCAGTTTGGTACGAACAACTGCTACGAGGTACAGACAGTTAGTATGTGCTGTCTATTCAGAGCGATGCTAATTTGAGCTTCACTTTCCTACCCAACCCATTTCTAAAGCACGTTGGAATATCAACGTACGTTGGGGAAAGAGTCCGAGCAATGACGTCACTCAGCCTTATTGGCGGTGATCAGTGGGGCCCAGTGGAGATTCGGAATTGCACCAAAATGGACTAATGTGCCCTCAAGAATGCGAGGATTTGATATTGAACAACGCGACTGTGCGGGTTACCTTGTCAGCCAGTCCTATATGAACTGCTCTGGTGGAGGGAACATCGCCGCTAACGCAGGCCCACTCGAACACTACTATTTCAGAAAACGACCGGCTCCAACCGGTTGCGCGAAGCTGAGCGTTGAAGTTGGCATGTCAAAAAATGAGGCACATGATCTGTTATAGCTAAGATACCTTCCTGTGGCTTTAATTATGTATTAGTGAACGATAGTCGACGGTGGAACTAATAGCCAATAGATTGGGGAAATTTCCAGGCCTATGATTGATGCTAGTTAACTCAAATTTTTTGAGGTCGACAGATCGTGGGAAAGATAAGGAGATGGGTTGATCTACAAGATAAGACATACCTCCGTTCAGAAAACTATGTACCTGTGCTGAAATTTCTACAATGCCAAAAAAGTGCGGTGTAAATAGTGGGTAAGCATGAGGTAATTCGTGTACATTTAATTGGTGTTTTAGTTGTTGCTGACTAAAGGATCGTTTTCATGAGAATCGGGCGAAGAAGAATATAGGCAAAAATATTAAAATATGAGGCATGCAAAGCAGTGGGTATAATCCATGGGACACCTAACACCAGCTTTAATTGAGGGTAAGGAAGGTTGTTTTAGGTGCGAGTGAAATATCTCCTCGGCCTCCTTGGTTTTTCTGCGGGGATGCTCCATTCTACAGTACCCGTCCAATTTTCCATTAACCTGTTCAAAACTGAGGATACAATCAAAGACTACCATGATAAAGAATGCTTCGCATCTATAAATACCGTGTCAGAGATCTACATTCACCCCTCTGGCCATGGGTTCTGTGAGCGATGGCACTTCAGTTTGCCTCGTACACAGATCCTATTCCATAAAAGGGACTCAACTACCCAGATAGGTCAGGTTCGTTATTTTATTTTCCACGAGGTCCCTTGGACTGATTGCATGATGTCTAACCGCAAAGACTAGCGCATACCTAATCGTGTTTCGTCAAACAGACGGACAGCGATAGAGGTAAGCGTATTCTCTCTTTCAAAGAACTTCGCTGACTACTGGCTTTATTATGCACCTTCCTCACAGCGAAATGACACAACATAAGCTTCTATAGGAGGACGGAATGTGGGCCTCGCGAGTGATGAAATTGAGATAGTGATCTCGCTATGGTGACTGTACTTGCCGAGGATTTTGAAGATGGACAGAATTTATCCATGTACTGACGAGGCACATTAGGTACCGTCGAATCGGCGTATGTTTTGGAAGCGGTGACTAAACCAATTGTGGCCAGAGGTTGTCTATGAATCCACTCTGGAGTCAAAGAGTAAGCTGGATCCCTCCGCGACAGTCCATTCCCCTCGCTAGCGGGCTCACTACTATGTTGACTTCAATTTGCATCATTCGACTATCCACTGAATACTTCTTTCAACTAGGAATGGAGCAACCAATCACCGATTTACGATGTCAGCTTTGGAGAACAACGAAGGCTTCGAGAAGCGGCCGAGCGCCGCCATGGAGAGGCCGATGGCGACCCCAGCCCCACACTCTGTTTGCCCTTTCGATCGCTGCCACATCTCTGTCTCAAGCGATCCGAGTTGAGACAGATGCGACCCTCACGACTCAGTGCGAGGCGACCGACTCAATGAACCGACTCTGCCCCTAGGGTAGTCTCTTTGAAGCCTGAGAAAATCCAATTTTGGTGAGTGCTGTGGCGTCTTGTTGACGAAGGGATATTATGTCACACTCGAGATACTAAAATTAACTCACTCACCCAGCGGAAACCTTGCGTCATTTCTCGGGGAAATACTTCCACCGGAAACCGCGATCAGCTGACATCAGCCTTCTCTCCTGGATAAGGTACCCACCAATCGAGACCAGTCGCGGTTGTCTCAAGCTACTCCTCCCTCTGACAGACCGATGGCCAACAACAACTCGCCAGATTACAAGGCTCTCTTTCTGCAGGCAGAACAGAGGCTCAAGCAGGCTGAAGATGAAGACGAGAGAAAGAGAGACGCAAGCAGGAAGAAGAGAGACGCAAGCAGGAAGAAGAGAGAAGGAAGCAGGCAGAAGATGAAGGAAGACGAGAGAAGGAGCGCACCCGACCGACGACTTTCATGGAATTAATGCGCCTTTCTCACACCTCGCTCTCCCGACCGCTGAGAGTCGAGACACCATCTCGTTCGACCAGCGGAAAAATACCTCTGCCTACCGGGAAATACTGTCCGAAACGGCTGGAACGTTGGGCCGACTGTCCAGTGCAACTGTCGGAGCTTTACAGGTCCGTCCACAGCTATCTCCAGCCAACGCCAGGAGAGGGGCCGCTTCTGTTTACATCTTCACATGAGCTAGAAGGGTTAGGCCGGCGCCTAAACCGCAATCCCATCAGCAGCGAGCAAGAACTCGAGGCTTATGAGCGGTTCGCCGTGGAAGAGCACATCAATGATATCATAACAGAATTGTGCAAGATACCCGCTGCTCGCGAAGAGTTTGGCCTAGGCGATGGCATTCAGTTCAGCAATCATACAAATTCCTTGAACAATTACGGTGCCATTGAAGCAGATGCAAGCCAACCATCAAGTGTACACCATCCAAGGCCTGATCAATTCTGTATCCACCGTGTTGATGGGCGTACCACCACTCTCCTCACGACCGTCGAGTATAAGCCACCTCACAAGCTTCCCGTCGCAACCCTTCGGACAGGGCTTCGGCCAATGGACTTGTGGAAGGAGATGGTCAAGTCAAATAAAATACCCACGGACAAGGACGCGAAGTTGCGGTACAATGCAGAGCGCCTTGTCTGCTCTGCCATTGTTCAAGAGTATCATGTGATGGTTCAAGAAGGGCTCGAATTCTCCTACGTGACCAACGGGATTGCTCGAGTTCTCCTCCGTGTTCCACAGGACGATCCTGGCACGCTCTACTACTTTCTATGTGATCCTAACAGCGAAGTGAATACGGAAATAGAAGCTACCTTTGCAAATACTTCTGTTGCAAGAACACTGTGTTTGTGTCTGATGGCATTCCACTCGCCTGTGCGAGGTCAAGAGTGGAGGAATTCCGTACGGCCAGACATTCCTATATGGAAGACCAGTTTTGATCATACTCGCTCTCACATTCCCGAAGATGAACTCAGGCAACTTCCTCTCAACTCCGACAGTACCGCCCCAGAATCTCCAAGCCCAGATTCTGGTTCGACTTATGAACCCTCGTCCTCTCCGGCAGATTCCCCTGAATCAACAGCTCGTCAAGCGTCTACTAGATCTCGAGTTAGCTGTGCCCCATCCGACGTGAGGCATCGCTCACAGTCGTCACAATCCCCAGACCCCGATTCGAAACCAGCAACACGCCACAAACGAACCTTCAGCCAAGTTCCATCTTCTCCATCTGCCCAACGCGTGCCTCGACAAAGAGACACAAAAAATGATAAAGGACCAGACAGCCAGTCCCGCCACCGCGATGCGCAATTTTGCACCCAGCGATGCTTACTCGGGTTGCAGTCTGGCGGTCTTCTAGACGACTGTTGTCCAAATGTGATGCTCCATCGTCGAAGCAATGACGATCCGCAGCATCCGATTACCTCCGAAGATTTGGTGCGTTTACTAAAAGCACAATTGGACGAAAACATTGACCGATGTACACCCCTTGGAGGTTGCGGGGCGTATGGTGCGCCATTCAAACTTACTTGTTTCGTATATGGCTACACCGTCATCGGAAAAGGAACCACGTCGACGCTGTGGAAAGAAGTCTCTCGCGAAGCGGAGGTATACCGAATTCTGCAGAAGGCGCAAGGGCCCGCTGTGCCTGTTTTCCTGGGTACGATCGACTTGGCGAAAATTTATTTCCTTCACGGGGCTGGAGAGATTCGTCATATGCTCGTGATGGCCTGGGGGGAGAAAGTACGGCATCCATGGAGCTGACGCCACAGCTTCTGCAGGGGATCCACCAATCGAACAAGGAAATCAGAGCTTTAGGAATCATCCACGAAGACCTTCGGCGTGACAATGTCTTGTGGAATGAAGAACTTGGGCGAGCGTTAATCATTGACTTTCACCGCTCCACATTGAAATGTCGACCGACTTTGCAGCTGCCGCGAGCCTCAAAAAGACGACTACCTCAGCCAGAGATAGTTGATTCGAAACGTCTTCGTGTGACATGAGGGCTTATCTAGCAATTCAATTATGCATGATAACTAAGCATGAAGCATTTCCGACTGCATCCGCATTAATTTCTACCTTTCATCATTCTTGATGCCCACTTCTCCACTACACCTATATGACCTCGAGGAGATATGATTCTATTTGCTTTGACAATCACGAATGGATCATCCAATCCTGGCTTTCAGACTTCGCTTTCTGTGATGCCATGAATCATGTGAAAACGTGGGTTCAACTATAATGCTTCACAATTGATATTAGAACAGTCGTGTACGAAGGAAAATATCGCAATAAGAGGTGAACCGCTCGACAACATCAGAGAACAAGATCATCCACATGAGTTTCCCAGGTGTGCTGCTAGAGGTACATTCCTTGGGCAGGCCCCTGTCTGCCGAACTCCTTCGAAAATTTCTGATTCGATTCCGCGGCTAACTCCAGGTATTTATAGCTCACTTGGCTGGCATTCGCCTCGGCGAGAGCATGTGCAATTGCTGCGATGTTTTTGATCTAGTCCATGTTAGTCAGCAAGTGAGAAGTACACAGCAGCGCTCTGGAACCCACCTCTCGTCCATTGAGATCTAAAGACTCCAATCGTCGGAGGTCGTGCTTCTCGATTATAGCAGGTCCTTGGACTGTACGTGCCCTCGTCAGAAAAGTTGACCAGAGACCCCTGCGAAATTCCCTGCTCAAGTCTTTATACTTGACGATTAAATGGATCCGACTAAGGATTGCATCATCAAACTGAATACCCCGATTCGAAGTCAAGAATAGGATTCCCTGATAGTATTCAAGCTTTCGGAGAAAAACGGTCACCAGGCGATTGTGAGTATCGTGGTAAGATGTACGCTGCTCCATGAACGCATCTGCCTCATCCAACAGGAGCACGGCTTTAAAGTGTTTAGCGATCTTGAATACAGTTTCAAGTTGTTGCTCAAGCGCATTGGAATCTCCGTGGTCGACAACGAGCTCGCCTGCGGATATCTGGGAAAGTCAGCGAGGCTACAATCTGCGCCACGACTGGCTCGTACCGAATAGAGAGGCAGCTTGAAATATTCCGAGGTTGCTTCAACCGTGAACGTTTTTCCGACACCGGGTGGGCCACTAGCACGGGTTAGGACGGAAACCTCGATATAGTACATAAACAATTTGCCGACATACTCCAGAAGGATGTTGAGTCCTTGACCTTTTCCATCAATTACGTCGTCAAAGGGTACTGTCGGTATCAGACCCAAGCGGGTTCTTGCCATGGATAAGAGGAGTGTCTTGGTCTCTGAAGGAATCTGCAGGCAGTCGAACGATCCAGGTGACCAATCTACGTCCCCAAGAGCACTGACTGCGCACTCCACTGGAATCACATTAGCTGGTCCCCAAATATTATCAATCGTATCACATACAGAACATTTTCTCCTTGAAGCTGAAACAACAAATTGTTGGACAGGCTACTAACAAATCGGCCTCGCTCAGCTTCTGTGCCTCCACACCGTCTCCTTGCATTCTCTCCTTCTCTCGCTCGTGGTCCTCCATGAGCATCGCACCTATGTCAATGACTGCAATGCCATTCTTGTCTTTTACCCCTATGTCGCGGAGTGACGGTCGGGAGTAGTTTGGCTGCATTTCATGGAAAAATGCGGCGTCCACTGCTACTCGGCTGTTGATGTTGATTTTGAAAATCTTCCCCTTGTTCACAAAGAATGCTTTGCCTTTACAGTGCTGAATGTGCGAGCCAGCCAAATCCCGAAATATTTGACCTCTCTCGACTAGATCATTTCGGACCTGCTCGTGACTCGGATGGTGGCAGAGAGGGTAAGCCTCAAGAGTCGCGATCGGCTTTGACCCTCGGAACTTTGGCACACGCAGAAAGATTCCGGCCTCGCCGAACTTGACGCCGTCATAATCAAGAAATCGGCATTCGAGATTAAACCACGTCTCGTCAGTTTGGGTTATTTCTTCTCCCGCGTCGAATTTGACACATCGCGGCTCTTTTGTGCCAATGCATGTAGTATAAACATGGCAACCAGGCTTGAAAAGCGCCCAAAGAAGGTCATAAGTAATATGACCGTGCTGCAATATTGACGAGAGACGCTGCGAGATAGCTGCATATGCTTGCCTTAGGTGGTCGATGAGCAAACGGAGATGCTGCGACGCTGCCGATCTATGGTCTGAACTGTTGTCCGTGTTCTCCACGCATCTGTCAAGCTCTGGGAGGAAATGAAAAAGGAGGTTTTGCTCGATCTAAATCCACGTCAGCGTTGTCGTTGGAAACAAGGCTCTGTCTCAATTACCGACGGCTTGTCCTCCATCAGACTAATGGCTTTGACATCGTGCAGCACCACACGCAGGATGTCACGCAGGCCTTCCGATTTGATGTCTATGTACGGCATCACCTCCTCGGAATTCCGGTCTAATAATACTATTAGTATAGTTCGGTCTTTTAGGTAAAGGTATTATGTACCAACACGTTCACGGACAACGAATGCATATTCAGCATAGTCGTCAACACCACCGCTGGTCTCCACCGGTTCGGTGATCGTGTATTTACATGCTTCTTTGTCCCAGCTATACCCGCGTCAGATATTTTCTGAAAGGAAAAGAGACGGAAGGAAGGGGGTTGATTGGATCAGAGGGCTTTGCTGGCGACATACGTTTCCACGACCGTCTTGAATTGGGGTGTGGAGGCCCACTTTTCAAACGATTTGAAATCATCCGGGGTTGTACAGATGGGATGTTTGAGATCAAATCCATCTGGCCCAGGAACGTTCCCCCGTTCATTGCTTGCAGAAGAAGACTGATCTGGCTTAGTTACCATGGAAAGTTCAGCTGAAGCACATTCCAGCAGCTGCCGAACCATATCAGGGCCTGGCGGGGACTGGTTCTGGGAGGCGGGAGTGCTTGGATGTTCTTGGAGCGCCTTTTCAAGAAAGACGCCAAAGAGATGCTTCAGATACTCCAAGGCGGCTGGAGGTGTAGCCAACTCCTTCGTTGGGCTACTAGGCGGCGTCAAGCCTTGGTGGCAGGGAGAGGAAGTTTTCAATGCCACGTTATGCTCGGAGGAAGGCATATCTGGGCCACTCTGAGCAGGTGCCATGTTGTTTGATTTGGCCGATCGAATTTGTTTGTATGATGAGGAAGAAAAGTTGAATCCGCAAGGTCAAATACTGATGAGAATACGAACAAAGAATTACATCAACCCGAGAGGTTACTCCCTTTTATATCTTCGCCGCCGATTCTTTTCAAATTATCATCACCTACTCCAGCTCTTTGATCGTCTCGTCCTGTGAACAAAGGTACGAGAACTTGGCTGCACGTCCATGGGTGTTAACTGTGCTCGCATGAAGCTAGCCTGATTCATTTGGTTTGTGCGCTGGAGGACAACATCCAGATTGAAGGAGCTGACAACTGAACACCCGCGTGTGTTGAATTCGGTATGAAAATCAAAGGTGGTACACTTTGTCTGAACATATTTGGCCGCCTGAATCATTGCCAACAGCCACGTGTGACCAATTCAGATTTTCGGGTTCCGTCGGATAGCAAATTTTGCCACGAAAAGGTTATTCCACCCCGTACGTGAAAAGTTACCCGCTCCTGCTTGGTAACGGCTTAATGTGAAATTTGGGGGATGATTCAGGCAGTATACATCCTCTTGAATATAGGTCTTGTAGCGACTTAGGATAATCGCAGGATAGAAGCATGAAAGACGAGGACAAGATATTTCGATTGAAGCACGTGACCGAGGATTGGTGCCTAACTGGGCATAAATCACGGACATTTCCGCTCCATTTCGGTTGAAGCGGGGTCATATGCCCCTCATCCAACTTCTCTCACTGCAAACCCTCATAATTTTGTCGCAGAACATGGCAATCGGTACCTAATACAAGCTAATCATATTGGTTAAGATATCCGCCTGCTTCTTTACTTCCCTTATATCTTACGACCTTTTTTACGACCCCTTGAGGACTAGAGCCATTTGAGGATTTAACCCTCGAACCCAGTATTCTGGCCTCGACACCGAAATTTCGAAGTTTTGGGCTTTGGCCTCGACTCCGTCGCCCCCATGGAGGTTAGATATCTTTTCTTTGTACATTTCAGAGAAGGCTAACGTTATTTCTCCAGAGAGGTCAAACTGCTCTTTCAGGGCAGGAAGAAAAAGATATCCCTAGTCATCGATTCCCTCCGGATCTGACGAACACAAGAACAATATACTTCAAAGGCGAATATCTTTCGATTTACAATGAGACAACGGCACATCGTCACACCTTTGAAGAAAATATAGCAGAATATACGCCGTACGAGATTCCTCCGGGATATACATGTTACGTCAGGGGAGCGAGCGTGTACTTTCAAGCCTAAAGGTATTCGCGCCGTACGCCAAAGACGTTGTTGAGGTAATAACCATCATTGTGCCCACACCATATAGTGAACGACACGTCCTGTGTATCATCCTTGGGAAACAAACTCGCCAAACACCCTGTCGTTTCCATGTGTTGGCTTCTTTCCCATTTCCAGAGGCGACTATTCGTGACGGCTGATTTGAATGGCTCTGGCAATATTGAAATATTGGTGGCTGGAGCATTTGAATACATGTGTTTCATTTCTATCGATTGAAGCGTTAGTCATTTGCGCATTTGGTTTCGCTGCCTCTGCTTACCTCGTCTCTCATTTGAAGGCGATTCTTGGTTTGTTGTTACTGGTTTGAGTTGTTCATTTCTTCCGTCTGTATACTCATGATTTCGAGAACGCTTCCTCGGATAATCAAGTGATATGAGATTGTTGTTGTCTTCTGACGGACGTTTATCTTCGCCATGGTATCTCAGCTTCTTTGCCGCTTCCAGCCGTGCAGGAGAGTCGAGAGAGTCTTACCAGTTGGACCAGCTTCACCTCCCGAGACTGAGTGAATTGAAACGATTTCTGCAGCAGATACAGCTGGAATTTCACACCACTTCATTTCCTCTGTACTGTACTCTAAATTCAGTTATTATCACCCCAGTAATAGCAATGCAGTAGACTAACTTGCAAGGAAAGGCTTCGTATTATTCTTCCTCTGAGTTTTTGACACGACTTTCCTAATTTGGTCCCGTAGAATCCAATGAGAAGGAAACGCTCGGTTCTCGACATAATTCTCAATGTTTTGAACAAGCCAGGAAAACTCCTCATCGGGAAGAGAGCCCAAGCCGTTAAAAGCTATCGTGAGGAAAATAATAGTTTCGCAATTCAACTTCAACAGCTCATCCCATCTTGGCTTGCAGTCCTCGGAGAGTTTTCTGATGTTGTAATTGATTCGTCGAACGGGCAAATCGGCACCCTGTTTCACGAGGTTGGAGATCGAAGCGAGCCTTTTCAAAATTGGGACCTGGTCGGCAAGAGTGGTAAGTTTAGATTGTAATGTCAAGGTCAACTGGTCATTAATATCCTCGAGTTGTAACAGTGTGAGATGGAGCATATCAAGTTGCTCAAGCAGGTTTTGAGCCATAATGATGGATGTTAAACACCCTTTGAGAAAAAAACTGGGTATTTATCAAGTTAGGGTTCAGTTGGGCCCGCATTATTTGGTGAGGTTCAGTCTGAACTAGCTGCACGTGGGTGTTCGGATTGTGGGGGGAGTGATTTGTAGGAAGCCTGCATGACAAACTGGCTGACGTGGCAGTGCCAAGGTCTCCCCTCGAAATCAAGACCAACTAGGTTGCGCTAGTGCATGTCGAATGCGCCAGAACTTTAATCGCATTGACAAGCTGGCCAGCCTAAGCAACCCTTGGGAATGGAACGAATAGGACGGGAGGAGCCTATCAATAAGTCACAGGGATCTGTCAGATGATTGAATAAAGGATTACAGGAAACGGATCCTTCTAGTCTTCATATCGACGGCCACAAAAAAAGGGCAGAGTCATGTTTCGGTGTGACAACCATGAGACAGCCTCGCGCTAATGCACAGAAATTCATATTGTCCCTGTTGTCGTTGATGGCCCACCGCGATTTGGCTCGGCGGCAAATGATTGGACAGTAGCTTATCGCGCAAGCTAGGTCGATCACACTTGCTGCACATGATACCTAATTAGTGGCCAAGCATCGCTGCAGCCTAAGGAAGTATATTATTGGCTCGGCAGACCCAGGTTTCGAAATATAAAGCGGGTCCAGCGTTCAGCCGCTCGTACTTTTGTCACGTTGGGACGGGACGGCTTCAGTGCAGACCCTCTTGGGGAGAAAATAATGGTGCCGCACCGGAAGCGCCTTTGGTCGTGGTATTCGCGTCTCCTTGACAGGGTTCCCCGCTCGGTTCAGCATTGCTGGCCAAGCCAAGGTCAAAAGCACTCTTCTTTCTACATAATCCAGAGGCCAATTACGGAAGTACTAGATTACAAGGGAACACTCTTCAGTACCTGTGCCTCCTCATCGCTCATGAAGCTTCCTATCAGGGAAGCGTGCATCAATTGTGTATGGGCCGAGAAGCGCGGAAGGACCGTGAGATCACGCCATTTTGGTCCACCAATCGGACACATGGCCACGTCAGAAAAGATGCGACGGCGCGGTGATTTGCAGTTGGATTGATCTTCCATCGACGTAGTCGCCGGTCTAGATTGTGGGCCAGGCACTAAAAAGCACTGGTCATGTGTCTGTCAGTCGCTGATGCAAGGCGGTCACTTCCATGGCTTGGAGCCTCTGTGATTCATGTCGCAGCTATGCCTCCTTCCAGCCAATGACGGCATCTCTTGATAGCTTGAGAGGCATGTGCCATGTAGAGTTGAGCCTATTATACAGCGCTCGAACCCCCTTTGGATGTATTTTACAGTATGATGAAGTTGCATAGATCGAGCGGGGAACCCTGCCCCAAAGAAGTGAGTACATGACTATCAGCAAAGCTCGCATGCCACCCATCAGGACCAATCTGACGCTCACGAGACTACACTGGGTATAGTGAGCCCACCTGATGTTTATACCCAGGTGACCTGTCAGACCTATTTCCCCGCTTTTTTGTTGATTTAAGACAGTGCGAAAGTAACGATTGTCTCTCGAATTTCTCTCTCGTGGTTTTGATTTCTATAATACATAGTCGACAGACTACCTACTCTGCCCCGTAAATTTCTTTTCCAGCATATCATACGTCAGGCTGAAAGCATACTACGGCAACGGTCTCCATTGGACTCAGATTCTTCAAATCCTGATCGCCAAACATATTCCTAAGCCGCTTTTCTGAACCTCTTCTCTCAAGCGTAAACGCCAGAATCCCTTCGAGTACACGTGCCCTTTTTTGCAGATCGATGGCCTCCCAATTAATACTTGTATAGTCTCTGATTAACCATTGACCTTTCTGATGATTCAGTAGATTTCGAAAACGGCTCCCCTAAAAACACTCCCAATTTCCCACCCGGCCTCTTTGTTTAGTCAGTTTAAACAAAGGTTCTATTGGCTTCTACGAAGAATTACGGTACTATAACAATGACTCATTATAGTTACCAGTGGATACAATACAGCCCTACGAGGATTATCATGGTAAGCCAATGAACCGCAACCCTTTCCGATCTTGGGACGATCGGTTTGAGGATAGCGTGCAACAGCCAAGGCGAGATAGTGACATACCGCCGTTTGATGCAAGGGAAAGGGAGGCTTTCTTCAACATGCTACGGCCGATGCTCTCATTCAGACCTGAGAATCGCCCTACTACTAAGCAAATTCTCGATTCAGAATGGATGGTAAAATGGGCCCTGCCTGAATATGGCGAGATCCAAGATAATGTATGAGTTATTCTAGGGTGGGACTGCATGTATCATATTTATCCGCTCCCGAGGGAGTATCCCTGGGTCTGTTGCGAAATGTGGATGCTTGCACCTGAAAGAGACCACGACGGCAAAGCGTTCTGCCACAATAGATCGAGCTTACCCTTCCCAAGCAAGGTTCGCGTTTGGCATATGGCCTGAATCTCTTTGTCTTGGGAGAATTTGCTTGATGTAAGAATATGGTCGCCATATTTCTATCATATTCCTACCCTTCTCTCATGCGACCAAGCTGAGCTACTCGTGAATGCAGACCCTACAGATCATCCATCCACTGTGAGGGGATGGAGGGCGGGGTCAGGTCTTTACGCCGGCTGGGCGGTCTGAGAGGTGAGGTTACGTGACGTGGGCCGCCAAACAAACGGCAAAACTAACTCGAAAAGGCAATTCGCAGTCCTCAGTTTATTTACGTTGTGGTTTGTGGTGCAAGAGAAAACGAGGGAATGGTTTAAGTATCGATTAGAGTGGCATTTCCTACGTGGCATCCGCCAAAGATCGCCGCTGTTTCTTGAGTGTCGTGCTCCAGTACACCTGTATGGACCCTTTACTTCTCCCAGCGAATTTCTGTGCAAACTGTCTCGTCACCTCCGACCAAGCAAGATTCTGTTCTTCCCTGAGCTGCAAGCGATAACTGACTACATAGGCTATTTAGTTTCCCCTATCCTCAGGCCTACGAGTAGTCGTGAATGACTTAGGAATCTACCGCGAACTCTTGAGTATGGAGAATCCTCTTTGGAACTACAAGTCATCGTGCTTTACCCTCAGGGCCTCAGGAACTTCTAATCTATTGAGATAATGGCTGTTTCAAGTCGGGGACCGAGAATATGGCAAACAAATTACAGTCATATTCGAAATCAGTTACTTGATCGGTCACTCTTCCCTTCTTTCGACTGCATGCATTTTGTATATTTTCTCAATTTGGTTAGTGTAGCTTCAGAGTTACGCTAGCCTTAAACTGGTAATACACCGCTTACCGACGGAAAGAATAACAAATACAGAGACGCATGTTGATCATGAAATAGGCATCAAAAGTGACTCGATTTGTTGAGGTGAAGGTGAAATAACCGATTTTCTTTGCTTCTAGAGTCATATATTGATAACTTATTCCAGATCACGTCAAGCGACTGAGATCTGGGATTATATCAGGCCCCAGTACCTATAGTAAGGTTCGGAGCAATGCGCGCAGTCGCCCCCAGGAGTAAGAATCATAGTTCCTCGAGGACCTACAGCTCATGGGTGTGAATGGTATAGCTCCGGGGAACGAGAGGTGGTCCCCTGTGAGGGTCTCACGTATACATAGAGGTGGATAGTGTTTCAAGATGAATAATCAATATTAAGAACAACTATAGTTGACTCTAGATACAAGACGTAGCGCGAGGAAGCAAAGAAAGGTAGCTTCCTCGCGTTCAGGGGAACCCATATACACCCATGTGGGTCCCGCGCAGATCGTATCTCCATCCGTTCCGTATGCTTCATGTATATCTCTGACAGGTACCCTGGGAGCGTCGGTTACTACTTCTGGGAGCAATTGTGACGGTTCATGGATGCTTGGGTTTTACCACTACGCCATCTGGCCAAAAAGGCACAATGTTTGGTCAGCGACCAAACACCCAAGCTACTATATATGCTCGATCTCTGACAGCAATCAATAGCGTGCCTTGGAGCATGGAATCTGCGATCAGATATTATCTGGCACTGATTTAGACCTCACGGTATATATAGTAGCTCCACCAGGAATCGGCGTGACCACCTACACTCTGTCATTGTTTCACTACCGCTTTCTTTTATAGATAATTATGCGAAATACAAGGTGTAAGTGAAACAGCTGCTAATCTTGCATTGTGGGGAGCAACGATAAACCCTCGGTCCAGGACGGATCTGAATGCCAGTATTGGTTGGTATAAGCATTAGTTCGTGTGCTTTGGATGTTGCAGCGAAAGCTGCCTCGTGTTCTCCGTAATGTCGTCCATTTCGGCGGTTTTCCCCGGCTCGTACAAAAACTGTTGAACGATAGACCCCATACTGCGAGGTTGGAAGGCTTCAATACTGCGTGGTCTGAAGCCTTGGTCTAAAGCCTCCTTTATCATATCGTGCCAAACCTCAGCATAAGACTTTTTCCAATCTTCGATGAAGGCTTCGGCTTGAGCCATCGTTCTAAATTTTTTGTGACAAGCACCAGCCTTCCCCTTAACTTCTCTCTCAGCACCGCCTTTGCCGCTGATATTCGTAAGCTTCCATGGTTTCCTCCGCAGCGGAGGCCTGCAATACATACTGGTAAAAAGGATAGATACCAGGTTTTGCCCCATTAGCGACCGCAAAAAATCCATTCCCATTCAAAGGTGCCGTTTCTCCTGCGCCCTCCTTTATCACCTTCTTGGCCTGGGTCGCACCCATTTTTTCCATGTACGCGTGGGCCTGTTTGAGGGTTTCGCAACCTTCAAATAATGAGCTACAACCTGTCACGCGGGGATGTGCATCTCCCCTACCATTTTGGCTAATATTTATCAAAGCTGTGATCTCGGATAGGGAAAATACCAGGATGAAAATATGGTAGGCTCCTCTACACGCCCCTTAAAAACCGCGTAGTATTCATAATGCGGTGGCATGGCGTAGGTGACTCCGCGCAAGGCACGATTGCAAAATCACTCGAAGTTGGCGTCGGTGCTTTGAAGAGGGGAAGAAAGCTTCAGCAAAATACCTTGGAGGGCAGTACTACTCGCCCAAGTCTAAGCCACTTGGGATCAACTGACAGCATCCGATGCATGACGAGTATCACGGACTGTATAATTGGGCCACGTATTTGGTTCTTCCTTATCTGTGTACGGGGTGTTGACTCGCGGTGCCTCGAAGTAGGTGCCATTGGTGCCAGCCTCAAAACTAAAATCACATCTCTGTAGCTTTTAACCAAGATGAGAAACTGTATATTGGTCTAAATGGCAGTCTTCTCACATCCATCCCTGAACCTGATTGAGACTCTACGGAATTAGAACCTTCAATTGACATAAGAGGGGCTAATAGCTATTACAAGGGGGTACAACCAGATTCTTATCGCTTCCAATCATATGATAAACCAAGAATGTTGACCTTGGTCGGCGTTTCGGGCGTCTTGGGATACATTAACATTTTCATACAAGGTGATTCAATTGAAAAAAATTGTGCAAATAATAGGCCTGCAGGTCGGCATTTTCTTCCCTTGCACGTTAACGCGCAATCTTTTCAGAACAAAATCAGGTAAGTAGGTTAAGATCGTTGACGTTGGAAGCAGATGATGCCACGGATTCCTACTTGAGTAAATGGGAGAATGTGCAAGGTATGAAGAAGCTTGTAAAGACTATTACCCAGCTCCCCTTGCTTACAGACGAGTGAGTGTGTACACGTAATGAGTACAGTGGGAAGATGTACACAATCGGCCCTTTTTTCCTCATGAAAGAAGAGGTTGTAATCTCTCATAGGCCAGATTTCTCGGCAGGGCAGACAAACAGGGCGACCAGCATTACTTGAGTAATGTTTGGTGGTCGACTTTTGCCTCAGTTGGCTGGATGTATCTTGAGGCCTTGCCAGGGGCCCAAACAACGCGTCACGTGGGGCCTAGCCCCAGCCCCTATATAAAACCAATGTGTGCCGTCAAAGCATTGAAATACCTCCTCCCACGAGAAGGACTCAGACTAGGATTGTGATATACGCTAGCATCAAAGTTCCCTTGTTGCGCCAATGCACGGATCATGGATGCCGTCTTTTTTGCGGCCGGATTTCACCTGGCCCCGACCGATGCAGTCAACAATATGCGAAGTCACACCTAAATTGCCACCTATTCCAGGCAAATTAAAACGCAGAGCCTGCGGTATATTTCATGAAGTATTGTACCGATTATCAGGCTGGTACTGCTCGTGGTGCGACATACCTTTCGACGCCAATATCGTACAATTGCCATTCGGGTTGGTCCTAAAGTGGACAGATCGAACGAGCATAGAGGAGGCCGTCGCAATGCAAATGGCGCGAGCTGTCGGAATGCCTGTTCCAAAAGTTTTATCTTGCGGAGAGCACCCCTATGCGCCCTTCAACCGCGTTTTCTCGATATTGATGACGAGACTGCCCGGTACCGCACTTGAGAACTCAGGCGATCCTTTACATGTTGAACTGGAGGACCCGTGGCTTTTCGAACTGAAGAAATGTGTCACATCCATGCGCACTTGGTCCTCACCTCATGCGCAAAGTATTTGCTCGGTTTTGGGTACCTCGTTACGAAGTTCAAGAGTGCCTAATCACATAATGGGTCCGTTCACAGACGAAGACGAGCTCCACGATTATCTCTTGAGTCCTGCATCTGGACACAGCTTCAATTCGACTGCAGAATACAATCAAGCATTGGCGCAAGCAAATGAGATTCGCAAATACTCTCACCGAATTACTTTCACTCACGGTGACTTTAAGGCCCATAATATTCTCGTCGGAGATGATGGTCATTTATCAGCTTTTCTTGATTGGGAATCTGCTGGCTGGTACCCTGAATACTGGGATTTCACGACTGCATTGAGATATGGAAAGAGCAGCTGGTGGGGTCAGGTGGCTTTGTGGATTGGAGGAGACCAGTACAACGGAGAGTTGGCTTGTGATATTGCGCTCAACTCATTGACCGTTGACTCATACATAGCCTTCTGATTTCCGATGATACATTTAATTTATGGTATGCCTTTTTCGTTCGCGCATTTTATTTGCGATCCATAGATTCATATTGTATTTGCAACTGGACACGTGAGGTACAGGAACATGCAACGACAGAAGGTAGCAGCAATGTGACTGAGCAGAACTGCACGCAACGTGACTAAATCCTAACTCCGGTCAAAGCGTTCGTAGCCCTTTCAAAGGCACAGCCTAGATCTCACAACCGGTCGTGGCTGTTGGTTGATGGCTGCGCTTGCGCTATACTGGTTTCCGATCGCCATACACTCCTGCGACAAAGCATCAACATTGCTGCATCGAACAATGCCTTGCTGAATGAGTTTTTGCAGAATCTTCATCAACCACACACGACAGGTAACTCCAGGTATGCTGTTGACATCCCCATCGTGCGATCTCATAATCTGATCAAGCTGACCATAGACGGTCCCTGGAACGATGGCGACTTGCACGAGGACACACAGAAAATTCGACTTAAAAACCCCACCGGTGGGTCCATGATCGGGCATCCAACCTCCTCCAAGATTTCGCATATGATATTTTGTGCCGCCCATTGCACTCGTATGGAAGTAGTAACCCCAATGGAAGTCATTTTGGCGAGGAGGGTCGGATCGGATCCAGAGAACGATGAATAGCGCGTTGAGTGGAAGTCTAGCTAATGCGTCTTCTTGTTGCTTCTTGATAAAAGTCGCACGTTCTTTCGCTGTCGTAGGAGCAGGTTGAAACATGGTTTCGGGCTGGGGTAAAAAGAGGACCAGAGAAATCTTGTGCAAGCAGTGATTGATGATATCTTATAAAAGTATTAAACAGCTGGATGGGACCCTTTTAAATATCCAAATTTTGCCCAGAGAAATATGCTCACATGGAACCAGAGCTGTTAAATGCACTTCCCTGCACTTGCGACACAAATGCAACCCGAAGCGCGCAATGTTTCCAAAATTATACTATCCTGGCATTCTCCGTCTCTCCATTTGTTCCTTCCTTCATGCAAGATAGCCCACGATCTTTAAATAGTAGGTTTCGACCACATAACTTCCTCGAGCGCGCGCTTCATGTAACACGGCCTCGGCGACAACGAACACTCCATCTGTGCTCTTCCCACCTAAAACTTCATGCTGATGCGTCTGATGGCCCGTCCAAACCCTATCTCTTGTGTTCTCACTGTTAAAAATCGGAACAGTTAGTTCTACCGATCATCCAACGCGCTCTTTCCAAACCACCCGGAACTGAGGTCAGATTCCGTACCGATCGCGTTTCGACATAGCTACCTGGTAGAAGGATACCTGTTTAATTGAGGCGACGCATTGTGAAGTCGATATTAATTGCTGGATGTAAGTACAGACTACGCACCGTCAATAGCTTTGGTCTTTATGTGTCACATGTCACGCAAAGGCGTTTTGAGAGTCCCTCGGTTTACTAGAGTGACGAAGGGTTCCCAATCTGTCCCTGTCTTTTAATACTACACCCACGAAATATATGTACCGTATGATAGCAGAAGCCATAGCAGTTCTGCGAAAATGGCTGAAGATAGTGAAATGCCATTATATTGGACCGAGTTCCTTGGATCCGGCGACTACGTCTGCTCTGCTAATGCTCGGAATGGGCCAGGAACCCCCTGTGCCCCAACGTGTACCAATCAGCAATGAAAAGGGTGCGTACTACTACGAGATACTACGAGACCATGCGACGATAATTCTTCAAGTGCTGCGCCAGAGCGTCCCATTTTTTGTTTTCACGTATTGGAGCGTAGGGGACAGGGAGGTCTCTTCCGACTGACTGAGCAATGGCCGTGGAATTATAATCGCGAGGTGTTCGAACGACAGTGGGCTTGGAGCGCGTGTTCTTTTGCCAATTAGCGGTCAATCATTAAACCCTCATGTGAATATAGTCTTACCATATCTTCCTTGGACGGCGGAAGGATATCGGGATGAGAGTGGTACGTGAAGATTTGACCATCAGGCAGTTCCATGATAAGCCAGCTTTTCATCCCATACAGGAGCCAAAATTCATTATGGCGCCGTAACAGATTATTGCGGCGCTTGCGGAGTTGCTCCCGCTTGACACGGCTTAGGGCGGGCACCATTTTTAGACTAATTTGCTGGGATCAAAGTAGTCGCCCGCCATGGCCGGTTAAAGCATTTATTTATTTCGGACAATTGCTATGGCCAAAAGTTGAAAATAGCATCTTCAACGATGGGCACCACATACCCAGAGGTTCCAACGATCCTCACCTGTTATAACTTAAAGTGCGGTTAAGCGATCAAAAGATGCGGCTCGAAATTGACGTTCTATTGTAGGAATTTTCTGTCGCCAGATGAGACAACAGCTTTAGTTTACCGCTATTCCTGATTTTCACTGTATCAGAAGCATGCCCAGACATAACGTCAGGTCAATTATATCAGGCGGAGAATACTATACACTCTGGACGTCCCATTCTTGATACAAATTCAGACCGTGAAGCTACTTGCCATGGAAAGAGAATAGTGTCCCTCAACAATCGTAAGTATGAAACATGTCTCTATACCCGTCGTTATTATATTTTCCACGGCCTCCCGAGGTTAGACTTTGCTTCTCTGGACCCCATCGCTGATTGTTAATGATTCGCAGCCGAATCTGGCTTCATGGATGCCTCCATTGACTCAAGCCACTGGTCCTCGGACAAGCCAGGTCATACCTGAGAAAAACACACGACTTTACGTAACATCTGTCTCGCAATTCTCCTCACTGATATTGCACCGACCATTATGTTCTGGTGATTCGCTATCATACTCCCGCTCTCCACTCAGCATATCTGCTGTGGACTCTGCGATGGGACTCGAGCACACCGAAGGAGCTACTGCGTTAGGTCTATCAACTAGTGCCACAAGCGAACAGTACATCGACACTGGATTTAGTAGCGAAAGCCTCTCGCCGAAAGCAGATTTAAAGAGCGACGCTACACCCCTGCTTCAGGATGTCATTAGCAAAATCACCGTTTCGCCGGTTTCGTTTGATCGTACCCATCAGCAAATCTTAGAGAGTTCGGATGCATTGCACCCTGGCTATTCATCGGAATCTTACCCAACGCCTACAGATCATTCGACAAGCCTGGAGCATGCCGAAAATGGTACGAGTGGGGAAACTGGGAAGAGGAAGATTTCACAAAAAGAGACCACCAGCGATAGACTTTCAAGTACCGAGCGGTCTGATACTGCTGGCCATAGTATTGGGACAACGGGCCATTCTATATTAGGGCTGTTCCCGATATCGGTTTTTACCGATAATTCCGATACAAACCTGTACCGATATTATCGGCCGTTAATTATCGGTATAGGTTTTTAGTAGCCGATAAAAAAACCGATAACTTTGAGAAGTTGTTAGTAGTAGCCGATAATTTATCGGTTTTTTATCGGCTACTAAAAACCTGCGCCGATAATATCGGTAGACCTGTAAACTAGCCTAATTAGGCTTGTTTATAACTAGTTACTGCATGCATACATGTATATATATATATATATCATCCATGCATGTATTGCCTCTCTTGAATAGTCCAACAATCTTAGATTCTTAATCCTACTCTGCTCCTAGCTACTGCAATAACCAACTGTAACTAATCAATTAATAAATTCATTCAACGAACTAACCAAACTAAGCAATAAATTCAACTAGTTAACTAAACAATATCTTTCATCAGCATCAACATCCTCATAGTATCTGCCCCTAAACTATGCCTTCGAACTCCCAAAAGATCTCTCCCTCCACTAAATAATCTCTCAACTGATACCTCTGAAGCTGGGATCGCAAGAAATTCCCTTGCAGCCTCTGCCATTTGAGGGTATTCGCCCTTATGGGTACGCCACCAATTGCAGAGCCAGTCTGGATCCTCTGCACCTGTGATAGTAACCCGAGGACTATCAAAGTACTGATCAATATCAGAAACAAATTGATATTCCTGAGGCTGTAGCTTTTTCAGCATCCATAACCGCATTGTTTTGCGATTGAGAGAATCTTCCTGAGTCAAGTCTAGAATTGACTGTGGATTCGAGTCTAAATTTGTCTGTGGAAGCGAGGATGGAATTGATTGTGGAAGTGGTGGATATCTCTTATGGAGCATCCGACGAGTCTCCCGTATAATCAATTGGGCAGCATCTTGATCTACCATCTCATGAAGTATGAGATCACCTTTGAGCTGAGGATCAAGCATTAATGCCGTATAATAAGCTTCAGAGTTATCCATGAAGTCATAGTACTTTTGGTACTTCTTCATGCCTGCCCTTATTGCATTAGCAATATCATCATCATATCCCACTAAGGCATCATCCCGTAAAAGATCATGAAGCTTATAGTAAATTGGGACAGTGAGACTGATTTGTGGCCTTGATATAGATACCAAGTGCGTCAAGTCATTAAAGGTTTTGAGAGCTTTATGAATCTGACTAAGTCGTTCCCATTCTGCATTGGTAAAGGGAGGAATTTCACCCTGTACAGCACAGAATCGATTAATCTGAGGTCGAGCTTGTATCCCATCATTAAGCATTCGAAAGGTAGAATTCCACCGTGTTTCTACATCATACTCGATGAATTTATCATCGAGCTTCATCTCATCACAGATTGACTTCCAGTCTTGCCTCCGTTGAGGACTGCGAGAAATCCAAATAGCAAGAATCCGGAGTTTAGCTAATGCTGATTGAGATGAGATCGATGGAGAGGTTGATGATGAGCTCGATTGGGAATTCCTGGATTGTAGATTATCACAGATCGAATTGGCCTCTGAAACACTTCCAGCTTTCAAGGAACGAAGAATATCTTTCACAATAAGGTTCAAGATATGAGCCAGACAGCGAACATAGCTATTAGGTCCAGAAAATCGAATTGGTTGTAAAGAATTCTGATTCTGTTCCAAAAGATACCATAACTCAGAAACCATCTCTTGAACATTTGAGGCATTATCCCCAGTAATTGTCGTCAACTTTGACGTGAGATCCAATTCCACTAAGGCCTTG